CTGCTTTAGAGCGAGCCATCTCACGTCTGTTCGCGAAAATGTGAGAGCCCGTCCAATAAATAAATGGCTAAAGTAGCGAAATATGTCGAGAGGCGGACAAAAGGGGCGCGCAAGAGGAGAAAACCGGTCCAGCATCAGTGAGGGGCTCATTTGAAATTCAGCACAAGTGAAAATGCAAATTGCCGCGCGCCGCCTCGTTTGTTGTTTGCTAAAAATTAGCGGCTGTAAAAGAGTTATGGCAATTGTTGAGAGCTGCCAGCACACCAGCAAGCACGCCGAATATAATGAATGTGCGTGCGTGTGTGCTCTCTCTGGTGCTCTCTCTGGCCCATTATGCACTTGAGACTATAATTGCCGCGGAGAGTATGTACAGCACTACACCTCCAATTATACGCGCACTTTGCTGCTCAGCCTGCCAAACAAGTACAGGACATGAGGGAAAATTAGAATTATGAAAATTTTTATTTTAAACTCTATTGGAATTTATTTTAATCTCTATTTGGAAAAGTGTACAAAATGAGTTTATATTATTTAAATATTTTTTTAATATCAACGTTACTATTTTTTTTTAGTTTAATACGTTTATAAACTTTGATTTTACTTGATTAAAAAAGTTATTTAATTATTTTAAAATTTTAATGTATTGATTAAACTAGTTCCAGTTATTCATAATGCAATTAATCAACCAACAGCTTATTTTATTAATTTTTTTTATTATTATCATTTTTTATAAATATAATTATACTGGGCTTCTAGAAACAAGCACTAGCTGTAATTTAATTGATTAATCCATTTTCCATCAGCTCCTCTTTGTCTTTAGCTTATTTATATTACTTTGAAAATATTTTTATGAATATTCTGAATTATTCATTATCTTGCCACTGACGTAGAGAAGAATAAATAGTAATAATATTAATTCCCCACACATATATGATTAATTGATTAAAAAAATATATGGCATTTAGCTCTGAATTTCCCCTATTTTTTTTAATTAAATAAACATTTAATTAATGTAAAAAATGAAGCACATAATAAGCAAACAGCTTAAAGCCAAATTTGTATCCAGAAAGGCCGGACACAAACTTGAATATTTCCAAGCTGGATAAAAAGCCGGCCGGTGTATCATTTAAGGGGCAATGAGCAGCAATCGGCAGGTCCTCTGGTATGAGAATCGCAAAACTCTTGGAGCGTGTCGAGCGGAGCTGCCTATCTATCAGTTAGCGCCGCCGTACGACAAAGTGCCGAACCTGCAGGGGCAGACGAGGGGCCGATCGATGCGGCGAGGAGAGGATTGGAGGCCGACTCGGAGGCCGCTCTCGAACCTTGAACTTCTCTCTCGAGCGCGCTCTGGCCGGCCGACCTCGCAGCGAGCCGACTTTTAATAAAGAACCCATTCTTGTGGCCCGACCAATCGCGAGGCGGCGCGAGCGATTATTTCGTTTGGACACAACACTCACGCGAGTGACAAACTGAATTTCTAATTCCGCCTTGCTCGCTTTGGTCAAAAGTGCGTTTCCACCTTAATAATTCCATCAAAAGGTTGCTCGTGCTCATATACTTTCCACCAGCCATTTACAAAATTATTCGTCCTAGCGTGCGTTAATTATTGTTAATTGTTTCTACGAATGGCAAGTTCTGAAGAAAGAGAAAATTGTGACATTATATATAATGAACTTGGGCCTTGGTATTTTTTTCAAGTATAGAAAAAAATGGCTTCATTACGAAGAAAAATGCTAATTACTTAGCAGTAATTATCACAATTCTGTGGGCCACCCAGTATTGTTGTCAAAGTTAAACTACAAGAAACTCGCACAGAGTATTGCACTGATCAATTGCAGGCGTTCAGGGTCGAAGATGTGATTGCAGATTTTAATGACGTATGCAACGAGTGCGTCAGCAGTGTTGCAGGTGTTGCATACTTTCCAAATGGGGTGTGTTAACAATTATAAATTACAATTATTTTATTATATATTCCTCAAATTAAATTAATTTGACAAAAATTAAAGTTCTGATTTCTTTGTTTCTTAAAACATGTCTGTTATTTAAAAAGAAAAAAATAGGATTGAAATCAAAAATAATAAACCGGTCAAAATTATATTGCACCAGAATTTGAATGGTTTTTTAACTTTAATAGTAGACTACATTTTATTTCTTAATTAATCGTATATGGAATCCTTACATTGCGAGATTTTTATAATAAACCTAAAAATAAATCACATTGACTTCAAAAGCGGACTATATAAAAAAGTATCACGTGTTGAATGGGACCATTTTACACCACCTTCCTTTTCGCACATCACCTGTCTCAAAGAAACCACGGCTGAATAATAATAAATGCTAATAATACAGCAGAAAGCATTGCATTAACAATAAATAATACTAAAAATAAATAAAGATCATTTAATAGTGAAAGTAAATACAGCAACCAGAAAAACATTTGTTTGGAATGTGTCCTTAACCAATTTCCCCCTCCAATTTTTTCTTATTCATTGTAAATTTATCAACTAAAAGAATTTAGCTTTGTGGCGAGATTTTTATGCACAAGAGGTACATTTAACCCACGCGGTCAAAGGTCGGAAAGTCTAAATAAGAAGAAGCAGACTGTATTTTTTCTGTTTATGAAGACCCGTTTCAAAATATGCACCGACCGGCGTGCGGTAAAGACAATGTGTGCGCGTTCGAATGGAACAAAAAATTGAGCGGGCAGGCTGCGCCGAAAATTCCCGGTCTGGTGCCGGGCCGAATTTTTTTTTTTGCAAGCGGTTTTATTTGCCCAGCCACAAAAGACGAATGAGCAGGCAGATCACGCTTTGAAATATTATTGGAGATAAAAACAGAGCGAGGCAAGTTTGGTCCGTAATGAGGCCCGGCCCGGGTAATCCTGACATAACCGAGACTCGTGCTCGGAACATGTTATGGGGCCCACTGCTTAGGCTACGAACGAACACCAGCACACACACATACACACACATTTATTTATTTTTTATATCATGCACCGTGAACCCTTCTTACAAATGGACTGCCTCCTCCAGCCTTTTTATTCCTCAATTTTTCTTCCTTTATTTTTCTTCTTCTTCTTGTATTACAACAAAAGTAAAGCCAGGCGTAATACAGCCACCAGCAGATCTCTCTGTTTCTCTCTCTCTATAGGTAGAAAATGTTTCAAGAATATCTCCGGGGAGCTGAGTCGGATGTGATGGCACCCACAGGAGACCAAACGCACTCACGGGCCGGCTCTATTTGTGCCGGCCAGTCAGCATCTTTCACAATAATAAATATAAATTCCAATAAATATATTCCCCCGCGCTATCTTTATCCATCTCTCCGAAGTAAACCAAAAAGCCTCGACTTTTTCTGTTAAAAGCTCTGGCGTGGATCAAAATGCCATACGCACTTTCCCCGAGGGGCCTGATTGAAATATGCCAGGGCGAGGACTCAATTATTCAGCGCGTCTCTCTCTTGTCGAGAGAAAATGTCCGTCTCTTTGTTTGTGTGGATTCTGCCAAGGATGGGAGCGGAATTATTTATTTGTTCGCACACGGTTTGTTTGTTTGCTTTTTGCTCGCCACCCAGGTACATTCGCGCGCTCACCTAGGAATTATTCATTGCGCCGCTCGGAATACAAATTGACCACAAGTACCCGCTTTGCATGCACTCTGCTAACAAAAGAATTTCGCTGTTGGTTCAATGTTCCCTTAAAAATATTTTCTAGCTTGCAAATTGAGTCATAAACCCGGGCGTTTGCATGAGAGAGAATGAGTGTTTGCGCACTGAGATCGAGTCTCCGCGAAGGCTTAAAAAAAATGGAACGAAAATATTTGCCTTTTATCCACCAACGTCTTGATCAAAGGTGATTACGATTTAGAGCAAACACTATAAAGAAAAAACTAATACTTTCAAAAAATGAATATTGATTACTTAAAAATGATCCAAAAACAATTCATCATTAATGTTTTTAAACTCCAGATGTAGAATTATTAAGTTTTAAAACAGATGAAAAATAATCATTCTTTTATGTTTAAGCCCAAAAATAATTTTGATTGAAAATATTAAGTGTAGTAATTTATTTTTCAGTTTTTTTTTCATTTTTGAAATATCAATCATCAAACGCAAATGAAATATACACTGATCTCTCAACATACTTTAAATTGTTAAAATATAAATTTATATCACCTCGCAATCTAGTTGTCATTTTGCAAATAAAAACTTAACGACGAAAGATTAATACCATTAATATTAAAATTAACATCTTGAGAGGACCCACAATACAGCATGGCGTTCATTTCAGAAATCCAGCGGGATATTTGACTAAACAAGTTCTTTATCACACAAAACTTTCGACATAGTAAACCTTTCAAAACTGAAATAATTGATGCAAATGAGGTAAATGTCGGTTCGTTAGGCTCCAAAAATCATTTTCCTAAAAAAAGCTTGATCCTTTCAAACAAGTTGTCACATAAACTGAATAAGATATTGCAATGCAAAGCTAACAAAAATTGAGAGCACTCTCCGCTCGAGTGAGGCAAAAAACATCACTTGAGAGAGCGCCGGATCTGGCATTTCGTGCTGGTAAATCTTAACAAAACGCACGCCTCCATTAAGAGGCAATTAAGCAGAAAAGGCGAGCGCCACAAATTTCCCCGATGACTTTTCTCGAGCTCCGGGAACTTTTTAAGAGGTCTCGCGGTTCATCAATTAGCGCACTGGCGACGACGAAAAACAAGAGAGAGAGTTTTTGGTCATCAAAGGGCACGCAGCCGCTCGATAAATAAACTGAGCCACGTGTGTTCCCTCGGCTGCTTTTCGCCGGTAGTCGTCTAATTAACTAAGAGGCAGCCACCATGGGGCACCAAATGGGCACCGCAGGGCGGACTTTGATTGAGCGGAGAAAGCAGTGCATGCCCTGCTGCAGACCCTTCTCCGCCCAAATGGCCCGGAAAATTAGAGAGAAAGAAAGAATGAAAGAAGAAAATGAGTTTGGACCCATCTGGGGTACTCACCACTAACGAGTCCCACTCGGCTCCGGCCGCCTCTGCTACTTTCGGCGCCGTCGTTTCGCAAAACAACAGCGGCACCGCGTCGCAAATCCATTTTGTCCTCAAAAGCACTGCACTCACTCACACTCTGCAACAAATTAAAAGGAAAAGGTCACCATGCGTAAAGTTTTTATAACTTAAACATGTTTATTTATGTATAAATTTTTTTTAATTAGAAAATTTTATCCACATATAATTGATAATTATTTTGTTTATTTTTAACATTTATTTGTAATATAAATAATTTTTGCAATGTCACGAAATTTGATCTATCATTTGAAAATAATTAAAATTGCTTTGTTTTTATAAATATTTAAAATTATTATGTTGTTCATATACAAAGGAAATATATGATTAAAAATGATACTCACGTCCTACGTTGTTTTTGAGGAAATTTATTAAGAAAAAAAAATATGGAAGTTTTCATCTCAAATCTCAAATTGATTAAAAGATTGAATAAATATTATTGAAATTAGTATTCACTTTAATTCTCTCTTTGCATTCTGATAAATTTTAAATATTTTAAGTCTAAGTCGCAATTCACCCTAATCCACGAGTTATGAATATAAATTGCACTCTTAAAAATATAGACCTTTTTTTACAAAATGAAACAATCAGAATCCACTCGAGCCTGAAGAGAAACAGGGGCTGTTTAAAAGTTAATCGGCTCATTTAAATGCAACCAACTGCACTTTCAGTCTCATTAAATGTCATCTTGGAAAGAACAAAATAATAAACTTGACGCATTTGATATTCACAAAAGAAGCCGCGCTCATAATTTCCCGTAACGCACATTTTGAAAAGCTCTCGTTTTGTTTCACGAGAGATGGAAGTGCCAGAAAGACACAAAGAAAAGGCGCAAAAAGTTCCCTGCAGGAGAGGAGGACGGGCGCGTTCAAATTTAATATTTTAATCTGCTGGCCCCGACGCTTCTTTGTGAGCGAGAGGGATATACGTGGATATGTTTCAATTTACTTTTTATCTAAAAAGTTTCCTCTACTTCTCCGTCTCACTTTTTCCTCTTGAAGGGGCTCGAGGAGAAATTTAAAAGCTCAGGGAGAATGAATTTAACTCTATATACAAGTGCTGGCCGGAGCTTGTTTTATTTTATTTTGCACTCGAGCCTGTCTGCCCGGCTCATATTTAAATTGTGCATTATAAAAGCGGATAGTGGCAAGAGAGTCGGGAGCTCTCTTCAGATGGACAGATATTCAAATTATACACGTGCACAAGAGACTTCCGACTAGGGAAATTAAAATAATCGCACAGCGCGAGAGAGGAGAAACGAGACCGAGTAACTGTACTTCCAAAACTGATACCAAGTGGCAGCAAAAAATCTTAAAATAACTTTAAAGAATGAAGAAGAGCTTTTTATATTAAAAAAAGACGTGGAAAAAGTTTTTCATGGGTGGCGTAATGTTTACCAGCATGAAATTCGCTTTTGTAAACGCTTCAACAACAAGCAGTAAATATAAAAATTGAAGAATTTTAATTCAATTTATTTTCTTTTTCTGATTTATGTGCATAGATAGAGCCAACGACAGGATAATAAACGAGCAACACAATGAAAGCTCATAACAATGGTGATTACGCGCTCAACAAGAGCCCGCAAGAAAGTTTCTTAATTGTTAAAAAGAATTCGTTTTTAAAATATCAATAAGTATGCACAGTATTAGCTATCTTGTTAAAATTTCTTCGGCTTGTAAAATATAAAATTCTGCCCAATAAAAAATGGGAAATGAACATTAAACTACATATAAATAGTAATATTTCAATGAATTTTTTAAACTTAACAGTATAATTTTTATTTATAAAAGAAATGTAATAACCGTGGTAGAATTTGTGATAAGGGATAAGAAGAAAAACCAACTCAACCAAGACCCACTGAGGCGGATGGGATCTTTTTGATCTTGGAAGTTTTAGCAAAGTTCTTGCTAACGGTGGTGCCGTTTTTTCCAACAATTCATTTTTTTCAAGTAGATCGTTTTCAACAATTGAATGTAAACAATGTGATGTAACAATTTGGGCAAATAAACAACAATTTATAATTTCTGCCAAAATATTTTTTGAATAATTACTTTCATTTTTTTTATAACGTTTTTATCTCAAAAATTCTTTTTTTATTTTTAAATTTAGAAATCATCTTCTTTTGAGCGTCGCTCTTCATATTTATATATTTCCTCAATTTTTTCATATTTAATTTTGCAGCACGTGTTCTCTTTTGACAGTTGCCGGCCGCATTTTGAAAACAAACCAGAAGCCAGAAGGATGCGTGTTTGAGTCGCTCTCGGACTGAGCGTACGTGCATTTTGCTTCAAAGTCGGCGCAAAAGTGTTGAGTGAGGCGAAACACGCGCTGCCGCTCGGATAGTGACAGGGTGTGGTCCGCCCTTAATCCCGGGGTGGAGGGGTTGCCCCGGGTGGCGGGTCGGTCGCTCCGGCGGCGGCGCCGCGACCAGCTGACGTCACCCTATATAACCATATTATCCGCTGTGTTCCGCAGCCATTACGAGTTGTTATCATTGCGGTAAGTGCCGGCACCGAGAAAAGCCAAAGCCGACGAGAACGGCTCGAGTGGCGCAGCAATTACAACACTTTTCCGCCAGATTCCACCTTTTGACTCTGGCTGATAAAATTTCCAGAGCAGCCACAAGCGGCGACAACGACACTCGAGACTTACTTTCATTTGGCTCGAGAGCTTCACCCCTTTTAGGCAAACTTGCGACCAAATCTGTCCATAAAGTTCAGCCATTGGGAAATAACCCCCGGGGCTCAAATCTTACAAATCTTCTTTCGCACGGTTTTGTTTACCCGAACTCCAGAAAGTCGAGGTGAAAATTTTGGCACTAGCCAGCAGGACTTCCAAGTTATCATTTGAAAATACTATTGATTTTTTGTTCTAGCTTTGTTTCAAGAGGAAATGCTGTTTTTGATAAAAAAAAAAAAAAAGATAATGAAATCGGCAAAATATTACAAAACAGGCAACCTTCAAGATAAGAAAAAAGAAAAATAAATATTTTCTATTTGCTTCTATTTGCTATTAGCATTATAAATGTTCACTTTACTTTAAAAAATTTACTATTTTATAATAGCAAAATTTTGAAATTTTCCCTGCAATAAAAAGCAGCATTTTTTAATTAATTCATACATTATTTCTACCATGAAATATAATTAAAAACAATCTCACAGTAACTGATAGAAGATTTATATTGTGATTGTTTTTTATTATTTTAAATAAATATAAAATGTACAAATAATTCCCCAAATCTTCAGAATAAGAAATCCCATTTCGGAAGAAGGTGATCCGGCGAGATTTATTTCTTATTTTTTGTTTCTGAGCCTCGTGTGGAATTGCAAGACGCCCTCAATTTCATCACCATCGTTCACACGTTTATCCCCGTGTTGATTACGTTTTTCTCATTTCTCCGGTGGCGACGATTCTGCTCTCTTGTTATTGTTTCATTTTTCTTGTCACAGCAATAACACGGCCGGCCATTTGCCGGCTAATCCGCGGCCACATCTCAGCGGCCGCTATTGCCTCCGTGTCGGCTGCCGGGTCCGCACAATAACCCCTTTATGATGGCCGTGGAATCAACAATATCGCCTCGCATCACGCGCCATGCCCGGCCAAGAAAATCCCAAAAGCCTTTATTTCCAAAAAAAGGTCAGAGAATGAGAAAGGAAAATTATTGGATAAAATAAAACATTTCCCGCTGCGCCCGGCTTATTGCTTCTTGTAATGAAAATTTGTCAAAATGTCAGAACGAGAGAAATGAAATATCGGTGTTTCGATTTTTACCTCGGAGAATTATAATTTTTCAATGGAAAGAAAATGGAAAATTGTGGAAATGCGAGCTGAATTGTTATGCTAATTCGAGGCTAAGTGGTCGCCGGATTTTCACGCGACGGAATTATTTTGGTTGAGCCAAATCGTCTGGGCCATAAACTACCTGATTTAATTGTGTGCCTTTGAAGTGGAGAATGTTGGTGTGCGGATTAAACAGGCGTGCGCATACTTTCAGTTGACATTTAAGTGAGAACAAAACGCAAACGGTCTGGCTGAATGAGTTAAAACTTTTGAAACAAATTTAAGTACCGCAGAAGGGATTTGGTCTCCCTGAACGGCTTTCCATCTATTTTTCTCATCGTCAGGCGGAAATGCATTTTCTTTTTCTCATTTTGTTTATTTTCCCCAGAGCTGATTTTCTGCTGTTCGGCGCGCGTGCTGCCGTTGGCAAACAATCCAATTTTTGTAGCTGTCATTTTACATGATCCGAAGCAAGATGCCAACGAGGATATTACTCGCTTTCGTGATCTCGCTTCCAGATGACTTTTCCGTGGCACTCAAGCGACGACTCCCAAGACGCCAACTAAACATGCAGCGCAACGGTGGCAGCGCCGAGACACGCATCGGGGATCGCACGGAAAAGTAAAATAACAACATAAGCAAGCAGGCAGGCAAACAGCATCATATAAAAAGCAGCGCCCACGCACCCCTGGGCCAACGTGCTCTGACAGGACAGGCAGACACCCCTGCGGGCAAAATGACCCTAACGAATGCAAAAATATAATAAAACGCACGATGGCTCATCTAGCAAATTGAATCAAAATGGCCAGAAATGAAGTTTGTAAAAGCAAGATTAGGAAAATAGAAATATAATCTTAAAAATTATGACACTTAAATTTTGATGAGGCATAATATATCTTAGTTAAAAAAATATAATATATATTATTAAATATTTGTATTTTTTAGATATATAATTATTTGTAATAAAGTCATTTTTAATAATAAAATAATATTAATAATTGTTTCCATTGTATAAGTTCATGCATTAAAAGTTTCAACAATGCCTAAAGATAATATTTTTGAAATAATTATTGATCAAATTCATTTTAATAATTATAAAAGAGCAGTCATTCATCCACGCGTGAATCTTATTAAAAATAAATATAAAATTACAATCAGCGTCGCTGTCTTTAAAATTATAATAAATGTCAATACATAATAAAAATAAAATTAACCTCTTTTGCTTAAAAATTATTATAATTTTATTATAATTTAAAAAAAAATTGTAAGGCTCAATGCAGC